TGTCATACACTGCGGTGTAAACGAAGAAAGTAATTTGACCTATCACGTTGGACAGTTTATCAACTGGCTAGCGGTGACGATTAGATGGAGAACAGTTTTGAAAGGTTCTCTCTTAAAACGTTTAATTTTGAGTCCGCAAGAATTAGAATTTTGCTACCGAAATAAAACTCAAGAACTACACAGCTACATTAGCACTAAGCAGCGCCCTTTTTAAAAGCATTGGAACAAGGCTCCGAAAAAGGAAATGTCATCGAAGCATTGTGCAAGGATTTTTTGCTTTCATAGCCTTCCAAACAACAATACACATGAAAAAATAGCTATAACTTTATTCAGGTATGTTCGCGAAATATGTACATATAACAGAAGAAGTATATCCTCTTCAGTACTTATTTTCTTCCTTCCCTTAATTCAAGAAAAAAGGAAACAAATTAAAATATATCAGTTCAGAAAACACTGCTTCATTCACTGATAAAAAAATGATAATAAATGAATGAATAAAAGTCTGTAACAATTTTCATCATAGGTCGTTTCGTGAAGTTGAAACTCAATGGCTACCAATGCAAGCAACATTACTCATAACAAAGCGAACGGAGAAGATTGGATGCATCTTCCCGCCTCCCACTGCATTCCATGGCTTGTCGTATTCAGCATTGAAAGTCTGGCCATAGTCATCCTCAATGCCATAATCATTGTTGTATTTGTAAAGCAGCGTCAGCTACAGAAGAAGAGTACCTACTTACTCATCCATCTGGCCATAGTCGATTTCTTTGTCGGGGTGGTTTCTGGGCCTCTGGAGATTGAAGACGTGGGCAGCATGTACTGTGATCTGTGGAAGTACGTTGATCTTGATTTCTGGTTAGCCATGTCAAAGCATGGCATTGGGAAAAATTTTCCTCAAATCTCGCTTTTTAATCTTGCTTTCATTTCATTAGAACGAGCACACGCAACATTCCGTCCGTTCAAGCATCGTTTTGTTAAGAAATGGGTTTATGGAGTGATGATAACAGTCGTTTGGTTAGTTCCTGTAGTCAGTAGATTCTTAAACGGCCTTGATAGCGACTCTAAAATTCTCTATGTCTTCTTCTCATATTTTTTCACTCTTCTTTTCGTTATATTAGTATGTTATGTTTCGATTTATATAAAAGTTCGTCATGGTCGTCTTCCTCAACATCACGGTGCAACCGGTCTGAGGGAAAGAAAACTGACGAGTACATTGTTTCTTGTCACCTTTGGATCGTTGTTAACTTTCCTGCCAACGGTGGTGTTCTGGGGTGTGATGGCTTTTGATCGTAAGCTAATTTTTAGCGTTCCCTTAAATTTTTCTTTTCATGTTAGCATGGTGTGTTATACGTTTTACGCGTTAAACTCACTATTAAATCCTATAATTTACGCCATACGGATGCCAGAATTAAGAGCAGGTATATTACAAATAATATTTCGCAGGAATCCACGCCGCTCAAATAGGGTCAACATTCCACCTCAAGATCATTAATTTGTATGAAGGAAGTATTTTCACGAGGGACAAAAATGAAAGAAAAAAAAAAGCAAGAAAATTAGTTTGTCATCATTCGCTTTTCATTTCACTCAAAATTGAATAGCACGCTTGAAGCAAAAGAGTAGAATTCGTCGACACTCCCTCGCATTGTTAACACAGGTCTATGGTGTCAATTTAATGTCCAGGATGAGGAGTTTTATCGCGGGTTTCAAATAAAATACCGTAAGTATTGAAATTATGGTAAACAAAATGTTTATTCACTGACTGGACAGTGATAATGAAACAGCTATGTAACTAGGAATTCCACTAATTAAGAACGAAACGAAAACAATTAGAAGCCTTTGCTTGGATCAGTGATCATTTTATTTCAATACTGTTGTTTCCCCGTAGACCTCCTGCCACTATTGTAAATAAAACAGAAACTGATTGTTGTAGAAACAGATAACAATAGAGATAAACATTAAAACTTTACTTCCTTGAATATTTTTCATTTTTTCTTGTTTGTTTGTTTGTTTTTGTTTTTGTTTTTGTTTTTGTATTTTTGTACTTGTTTTGTTTCATTTTTGGTTGTTTATCTTGCACATTTTAGCACAATACAGTCATTCAGATGACGTAAAGAAAGAAACTCTCTTTCATTACTTTGGGTGATGATCCCGATGATCAATCAATCAATGATCTGCCACCAAGGACGTTACATAAGACGGAAGAATTTATTTTAAAGCATCTCGGAAGTACGATATCAAAATCGACTTATCTTAGTCGTGCTCGTGTTTCTCTATTTTTTGATGATCTTCCTCCAAAACTCCACAAAGTAGCTTTAATAGCGTCCTAATCGTTGTGTTTTCATGCACTACGATCTTACAGGGGAAAAAGGGTTAACACAGCCGCAGGTATTCCCGCTCTCAGTTACGCATCTGAGAGCATGACTCCTTCTCGTTTGTGAAGAAGAAGGATAATCCTTTCTACATCGTCTAAGCAGTTGCTAACTTTTTAAGAAGCCAACCAGTTTTAAAATAATTTTTAGAATAGAAACAGTTGCACAGTTGGGTTTTTTTACGGCACAGGCAATCTGGTATAGGGGTAAATAATTCTGATTTCAAGATCTCAGGCTGAGGTTTTAAAGAGCCACTGACCATTAATTTCGAGAGTCCGCCGACAGTTGCAAAATTTCGTTATTCATTTTATTTTCTCTAAAGTACCCTTTTAATGAACCTTTTTTAAAAAACCATATCTAAAAGTTCTATCGCGCTTTATTTTTCTTCGAAAAATCGGCAAGTTCAAAATACGCCTAGATGGCCGTTGTTCTCCCTGTAAAGCAATGAAAACTTATTCAGCTTCGGCAACTTCGTACGCTACAACGCCATGCAATACCGCTTTTAAATTTTTTGTGCTAACAGATGGTCCTTTATCTCTTGGAAAATATTAATTTTTTCTTATGTTGTTACGTTCAAGTCTGAATAGTGACTCGTTGATTTGAAGTACTTCGCTTCTTTTTCGCAGAGGTAAAATAGAGGTCAACTTCAGTGGCCTATGTAAAGGTCTTCCATATATATTTACAAATGATAATATACATCATCTTAAAGCTTTATCCTTGTATTTTAATTCCTCTAATTCTCTATCTTGGCCCGCTGTAAGCGGCGCGTTCAGACTGCCTTCGCACTACATTTTTCCAAAAATGTAATGCGAACCGCTGAATAGCTGTCACGATCCCGTTTGAAGGCCTTTAAAATGGTCCGGTATGAAGATAGAAACTTTGAGGATTTAAACTACAAAGATAAAGCTTAAAGGAGATGTATATTTTGATTTGTAAATATGTCATACCGGACCTTTTTAAAGGCCTTTAAATGGGTTGTGACAGCTATTCGACAGTTCGTACAGCATTTAGACAAAATAGCCCAAACCCTTTTAAGTCTGGACGCGCCCCTTATGGCGGGCCAAGATAGAGAATTGGAGGAATTAAAATACAAGGATAAAGCTTAAAAGTGGTGTATATCATGATCAGTTACGCCTTTAAGGCATTATTTGCTCTCGTTTGTAACTACGACTCTGATAATTCTTTACGCAACCGTTAGGCGATCAGCAACTTTTTAAAATAAGCTCACTCATCTTTAAAATAATTATTGGAGTAACAACATAGATGCATAGGCAAGATGTTTGTTTCCCGGTACAGCCTTGCGGGCACGAGATCGAAATGAATCATTCTCAGATCTCAGAGACTTTAAGCCTGTTGAATTTTTCGATGACATAAATTTCCTATATTTTAGTGTTAAAACAAGAAGTGGAAGATAAGAATGAGATATGTAGGTGTGCAAAGGTTAATAACCTTTTTACAGATAACATTGTTTAAAATAAAGAGCCAAAGATTTAAAAGCCTAATATGATAAATCTATAATATGTATGAATATCTAAAATTAAAGTCTACTTTCTTTGAAACTTGTGGAGCTATTGTGCGCCCCCTGGGACATAGCATAAAAGAATAAGCGTCGAAAACGTTCCGTGCAAGATCGTGGCATATTGTATATCTCTTGACGCCTTAAATTATAACTAGATTTTTTCCTTGTTGGCAGAAGATGGTACAACTTATGTTTGGGATTGTTAACAAGGTAATCGAACAAATGCCAACAGGGTTCCATGCATCTATCATACAAAGTTGGTAGGCCTAGAATGTCAAGGTATTCCCGATTTGACATTTCAGGTGAGATTATGGAAAGTACACGTTTCTGAATTGTTTCTATATCCTCATTAAGATAGGCCGGGAGTGCATGATAGAACAATGGAACACAGAATTCTAGTATAGGTCTAATTGTTGTACAATAGAAGTTCACAATATCCGTAAGGGGAACACGGGACCTTTTCAAGAGAACAATAAAATACAGGCGCTTATTTGCTTTCTTAATGCAGTCTGCAATATGATTGTTCCATTTCAAGTCACTCGATATCGTAACACCTAATATCTTCGCGCGGTCGGTGACAGGAAGCTCGTGACCATCTACCTCGAGAGGGGAGAAGTTATGAGGGTTCTTCTTGAGGTCAATAATCCGGCATCTCCTTGCATTTGTCGGCATTGAGTTGCATCCGCTGAAACCAAGACCATTCCTCCACGGTAGTAACAGCGTGTTGCACGTCACCCAGGGAGCCGTGGGGTATGGTTTGAGAGATTGTAGTTTCGTCAACATACTTCCACGTGGAAGCGATAACCTTGAGATCATTGATCTTGAGCAGGAAAAGCCAGGGGCCGAGCTTGGTCCCTTAAGGAACTCCGGCGGGGACTGGGCCTCACCCAGAGAAGCAGTCGGAGGACAACTTGACGCGTTGGTGTCGATTCGTGAAAAAGTCAGTCACCCAGACTTTGATGCTGTGCGGCATGTTGGGGCCGATGATCATAGCGACAAGTATCTTATGTTCGATAAGATCAAAGGCCTTGCGATAGTCAAATAGCGCGACTCTAACGGCTGCACCGGTATCGTCTGCAGCTTGTGACCAGTGGTGAAACATCGAGATCAGAGCGAACAGGGTAGAGGATCTAACGATAGCACTGTATTGATCACGGTCAATGATCTTCAATACAGCGGAGCCAACATGGGTCGATATATACAACAAAATCTTCCGCGATTTTCGAGATGGCAAGTGTCAGGGACATGTGGCGCAGCTGCTTGCTAAGGTCTTCTACAGGCTTCTGCTTGGGGAATGGAACGACATCAGCTAGCTTCCAGAGTGAAGGCAGCCCTTGCTTTCTGTAGCTAGAGTTGACAATAACTGTTACGGGCTCGACAAGAACTTCAGCGGACTCACGCAAGAGCCAGTTAGGAATACAGTCGGGTCCGGCCGCTTTGCGTGGGATTTAGTTGTCTCAGGGCAGCAAGAACCACAGGCTCGGATAGAGTGAATACATAGGGTTCGTCCTCTACGGTTGCAATTGCCTCTAATTGCTGGAAGATCTCCATGGGAGCAAGGAAGGTGGAGTTAATTTTGTTGGCTTGGCGAGCGTGTATTGTGATCTGTGGGAATAGATCAGGCCTGATATCACCTGGTTATTCATAGCCATTGGGCATAACATTTATCAAATCTCGGTTCTAACTCTCGCTATCATTTCATTAGAACGAGCACACGCAACATTTCGTCCGTTCAGGCATCATTCGGTTATAAATTGATAATAAAAGTCACTTGGTTATTTCCTGTGGTCTTTATAGGTACATTCCAAGGACTGTTAAAGAGCTTTCTCTTGGACTATAATTTTTTCTTGCTTTGTTCTTATATTATTCTATTCTTAAATTGTTATATTTGTACGGTATATTTTTATTTATATAAAAGTTCGTCATGGTCGTCTTCCTTAACACCATGGTGCAGCTGGTCTGAGGGAAAGAAAATGGACGAGTATATTGTTTCTTGTCACCTTTGGAACGTTGTTAACTTTCTCGCCACTGTGGTATTCTTGGTCTGGCAGCTTTTGATATTAAGCAAACTGGTTACAAGTACGAACCAGACATTATTTCAAAGGCATACTCGAGTTATCTTCCCCGCGCTTGTCTTTCTCTGTTTGCCAATTGTCTTCCTCCAAGAGCTCTACAAAGCATCTTCAGGAACATCATTTTCAATGACTGTTATTGTCATTTTATTGTGATAAACAAAGGTCTCACTAGAGAAAGGAGTGTTACGGGAAAATTTTGTGATTTTTCCGTGCGGTTGTTCAGGCATATTTATTCGTTGTTTACTGCATTTTAGCGTTCTAAATTTATACGAGTTTCTTTCATTGTGATGTTTTAAAAATAAAGAAAAGCCACACTAGTTTCTGGAAATAGATTTTGCATTGTTACTTTGTCTTCATTGTGTAGCTGCGTATCGGTACTTTTCTTGTTCAATTCTGGTGAAATTCTAGGTAAATATAAGTGTTAATGATATTTCTGGCAAAATTGGCTCTCGTGGTAGTTGGCAGCAGAGTTTATACTCGAAACTTCAATTTCCTTTCATACAATCAAACTTAACACCAACCTTGCTTAGATAAGCAGAAACTTTTAATTGTATTTTTCATTTTATTTTTTTAAGCTGCCCTGTTGTAATTACCATCATTGGTATATTTTCAATATCGAAGGTGTGAATTCTCACAAGTTTCCTATTATTAATGGCCTAAAGTTTATTGAATCTGCTCTTCCAACTTCGACCTTTGAATATTTTGATACAAATCAATTAACTTCAAAGAGACCTTTTTTTGTAATCTTACTCAAATTAATATTGTCAATTTAAAGGTCAATAGAATCTCACACCGGTTCAATATATAAGTAAGTACTTTGTAAAGGTTTTTCGATCACAAAACGGAAGAGGCTAGAGGTGATGTCAGTTGTTCGCCTGATCTAAAATAAAGTTACTGTGTAACCCAAAGTTTGTCTCGTCCTTGACGTCGGTAAAAGCTCCCTCGAAACAGATCGTCGTGTATCAGGGAATCGTGACGAGTTCCCGTTCTCGCTGTCGCTGTCGAGTCGTCTCCATTAAGCTAGTTCCCCTCGTTATTGTTGTGCTATCCGGGAAAGTCCAGTTTGGGGCGCGGAAAACGTATCCTCACGGCAGGAGGCTAAAACAGCCACAAGGATTTCCCCTTTCAGTTACGCCTTCGACGCACTTGTTCTCGTTTGTAAACAAGAAAGATAATCCTTTACGTATCTTCTGAGTTGTCGCTAACTCTTTTGTAAGACGCCCATTACGTTCTGAAATAAGTCTTGAATAGCGAAACAGTCAGGATGAATGCACAGTTAGTTTTTTTTTTACGGCACTGGCAATCGGGTATGGGACAAAATAGTTCATTGCAAGATCTCGGAAACCGCTTATCTAAACAAAGTTTAGCCGTTGTCTCATAAAACCCCGTTGCGTCTTGAATGTAGCTGAATCTTTCATCTGAGCATTTATTCTTGTGCACTGTATCAAGAGGGCCGAAAGCTGGCAGTGGAAGGACATTTATCTGATGAAAACAATATTCTCTTGGTCCCTGTCCGTTTTTATCGAGGGTCCCTCCGTTCATTTACGCCTTTGACGCATTCGCTCTTGTTTGTAAACACGACTCTGATGATTCTTTACGCGACCAATAGGCTTTGAAATAATTCTTGAAATAACAACATAGAGGCAAAGGCAAGACGTTTGTTTCACGGTACAGCCCAGCTGGGCATGGGAACGAATGGTTCGAATTGCAAGATCTCAGAGACTTTAAATCTTTCGTCAAGACAACTTATTTTGATGAAACACATTTCCCATGTTTTAGGGTTAAAACAAGAAGAGGACTAAAAGACTGATCAATGTAGGTGTGCAAAGGTAAATAACCATATGCGTTTTTGAATAACCCTTTTTCAACAGGACAGCAGTGAGAATTTTTAAGTCAAGCTGAATGGTTATGTTATACTCAACTTAACAACTATGCTGGAGCAGGTAAAATATTCACTTTACCTGTATTCCTCCCACTCAGTCAACTCGCTTTGTGTAGGATGAGAAACATATAATGCATATATTAGACAAACGGAATAGGAAAATATGGTTCTGACAGCGGGATCTTGGAGACTTGCAGCCTAATCATAGATTTTTTTAGCTCTCTTTCTGATGACAATTTTCCCTTACCTGGCTGTAATGAAAGCACGGTTTTCATTCTTATTTTAGAGAAAATAGTTATTTACTGTTGATCGTTGGACGCAAGTGAAAATTTGAAGGCGCGTGCTGCAGTGTAACTCTACTCCGGCAGAAGGGTTAGGTTAGACTCAACTTTACCCACCAACAGAAACAGCTCGAATATTCATGTCATGTGTATGAATAACACCTCGCTTTGTGTATAAAGAAGTATGCTATGTCTCTTTAACATATAGGTAATAAGCCAGAGACAGCAAAGGCAAACTAAGCCGTAGAGGCCAGTAAATATACGTAGCAGAACAGAATGCAATGTAGATTAAAAAAATTATTCCACAACTGAAATTTTGGCTTTCTCGAAATGTTCGCCCCTGTTTAATAAAAGTAAATATAAACCAGTCTCTTATATAAACACGTTGTAGTTAACGATATGTACATGTCAGTATTGTCGGCTTAGCGATTGACAGTCTATCACTGACAGTTCTCAAATGCGCTGAAAGTAGATATCCATTTTGGCGAATTAACCCTCTTAATGATTGCAAGTTAAAAGAGGACGCAGTTTGTATCAGATTTTATTTTGTTGTTATTTTCCGTTTCTGTTAAGCTGCGCTCTTATCAGTTTTTGTCTTTCTGTTCATGCGAACGATGACTGGACAATAGTTGTTGTTGTAAGTAACAACTTGATTTACTTCACGTAAACATCCCTTCAGTAGCCGAAGAATGCGTTGCACTCTATACCAGAGCCCTCGCTAATCAAGTCTTACGCTAACTCAAACCAAAATTGTTTTCCCTTGGATGTGCTTCTAACATTTACTGTAATTAAACTTCAATACCTCGAACTCCACCTAAGACATCACCAGACAAAAAAAATATTTCCTCCTAAATAACCGGTTTCTTTGCTGTGCTTCCCTTTTATTTGTTTTTGCTTTTTGTTTGTTGGCAACTTTGCCCTTAAAACTCATTTAAAGAAAACAGACATAGATGCACAGGAAAGATGTTTGTTTTACAGCACAGCCTAACCGGCAGGGAATAGGGAATGGCTGTAATTGCAAGATCTCTGAAATTTTAGGTCTGCTTAAAAATTCTGAGTGCTCTCATTGCGACAACTTTTTTCATGCCACAAATTTCCCATGTTTTAGTGTTAAAACAGGAAGAAGACTATAAGACTGAGAAATGTATTTGTGTAAAGCTAAATAACAATTTTCGTTTTTGAACAACCACTTCGTTTGTATTATCGATAACAGGACACTAATAAGAATTTTTCAGTCCAACAGAAGGGTTATGTTATACCCAACTTTACACCTGTGCTGTAGCAGTTAAAATATTCACTTCGCGTTAATTTCTCCCGCTCAGTGAACTCGCTTTGCACCTGAGCTGAAACAGTTAAAATATTCACGTCACGTTTGTAAATAACAATTCGTTTTGTGTAGAGTGAGAACGTGTCATGTCTATTCTACATATAGACAATTGGCCAAAGACAGCAAAGGCAAAGAATGCCACAGAGGCAAGTAACTATACGTAGCTGCGCAGAATACAACGTAGATAAAAAAAAAATGATTCCACTACTGAAATTTTGGCTTCATCGAAATGTCGTCCCTGTTTAGTAAAGTAAACAGAAACTATTCTCTTAATAAACACGTCTAATTTAACTATATACACATATCATTACTGTCGGTGTAGCGATTGACAGTCTATCAAACAGTTAAAAAAGAAGCTGAAAATAGTTATCCACTCCGGTGAATTCATTCATTTATTGATTACATGGTTATTTGGTTTTCTTTGCCGTTTCTGTTCAGCTGCGCTCTTATCGGTTTTCGTCTTTCTGCTTGTGCAACCGATGACTGGACAATAGTTGTTGCTGTGAGTGATAAATTTAGTTGCACTCCATACTAGAGCCCTTGCTAATCAAGTCTTGCGCTAACTCAAAGAAAAATTGTTTTCCCTTGGATGTGCTTCTTACGTTTACTGTAATTAAACTTCAATACCTCGAACTCTAACTAAGAAATCACCAAAATTTTTCCTCGTACATAACCGGTTTCTTTGCTGTTCTTTCCTTTTATTTGTTTTTTGCTTCTTTTTTAAAGAGGACAGATAGTCCATAAAAAGCTGCTTAAACCTTCAAGTAATAATAAACCAAAATCTTCATACGAAACGTTTTCATATCAACTTAAAGTTAAATTCAAACGTAGCAAAGTTCGCGAATCGTGTTAATTATATCATCCACTCTCTTTTAAACACTAGCACTAAAAGATAAATTTCGTATCCACGGGCAGCTATGTAATATCCTCCATATATGTAAGTTTCAGAAGGGAACCAAACTCCACTTTGCACCTGTACTGAAGCAGTTTAAATATTCGCCTCACCCTCTTGTCTCCTACTCAATAAAAACAAACCGCGCTATGAATAAATAAGAGAAGTGAAAATTTTGTTGGTGTCATTTGATTAACTGTTTACTTAACAGTAACATATATATCATTAAACGTCCATTCTGGTAATTAAAGAACAACCTCAAAGGGAGGTTTTAACCTGTTTTCCAAATTATCTGCTAAATTAAGGAAGAAAAGCTAACGTGAGACTTCTCCTCGTAGACACTATCAATTGTACAAAAAGTATTCTTTTCCATATCGTAGCTAGTTTTCTTTTACTATACTCCTGTGATATGTCAGTTAACTAATTTTCCCTTTATGGTAATGATTAGATGCAAACGGTTTTGGAAGTTCTCGACTAGTCCTAAGGTATTTTTTTCCCTTCTTTTTTTTTTTTTTTTTGGTGTTCTGCGATTTATTTTCAGTAATAACCACCCCAAACGGTACTGTAAGGGTATTATCGAAATTTGCTTGAGAATTTACCTTCGATTGTTCATAAATCAACAAGCGCAGTAATAGCAGGGTGTCGTGGCGATATTACAGTGCGTGGTCAGGTACATTTATATCCTGAGAAGAGAAGAGAAGAGAAGTTTGAGAAAAATGATGATTAAAATTTTAGTCGGCATGAACAAGAAATTTGCTATCGAAATACAACTCAAGAACTACGCAAGCCCCTTTTTAAAGGCTTTTGGACTAAGGATCCGGAATGGGAAATATGACCAAGGCATTGTGCAAGCATTCTTTTCTTTCAAAGAATTTTAAGAGGCAGTTTACATGCAAATAAAACTAGGTATGACATCGACCCCAATTCGGAAAAAATACCTCATGCTTCTGCCTGACACTGAAACAGCGCTCATACAGTTTATTCAGATATGTTCACGAAATTCGTATTTGTAATAACATAAGGTTAGTTGTGTGTGTGCTTTAGGGAAGATTGAAAAATTTATTTGCTTCAGTAATTATTTTCTTCCGTCCTTTTAATTTAGGAGAAAAAGTAAACCATTAAAAAAATATATCAGGTCAAAAAACAATGCATCATTCACTGATAAAAAAAAAAAAAATCAAAAACAAAAACAATAATTTCTCATTATTGATAGGTTTTTTCGTGAAGTAAAATTTCAATGGAAATTTATTGGCTACCAACACAAGCAACATTACCTATAATATAACAAACGCAGAAGATTGGATGTATGTTCCTGCCTCCTGTTGCATCCCATGGCTTGTTGTGTTCGGCATTGAATGTTTAATCGTAGTCATCCTCAATGCCATCACCATTATTGTATTTGTAAAGCAGCGTCAGAAACACAGGAAAAGTACATACTTGATCATCCATCATCTGGCCTTAGTCGATTTCTTCGTCGGGGCGATTACTGGGCCTCTGGGGATTGAATTGGTGGGGAGAACGATATTATTTAGTATTATTATTATTTTATTATTATTATTATTATTATTATTATTATCATTATTATTATTATTATTTCATACTAAAAAATGCCATTGGGGCTACTTTTTATCAAATCTCGCTTCTTAATCTCGCTTTTATTTCATTAGAACCAGCACACGCAACGCTGATTTCATCCGTTAAAGTACCATTTTGTTAAGAAATGGGTTTATGAAGTGATAATATCACTCACTTACAATTCGTTAGTTCCTGTAGTTTTGACGACTACATCGTATGAGCTGTTGACCAGCTCTTTCATCGGCTTTCAATTTTTCATTTTTTATTTTTTTGCTTTATTCTTATATTATTCTATTCATCGTTTTGTTTTATTAAACAACCTTCTTATAGAGAAAGTCTGAGGTCCAAAGATCGCGTAAAACCGTGGTTTGGGTTAGACCTCGCATAAATAGTCAGCCCTTTAAGTTTACACTGTTTAAGAAATTTGTAAGGCCAATAGATACTTTATTCAATTTACTCTGTAAACACAGAGCGTTGATTAATCGGTGAATCAGTCCAAACAAGAGAATATCATCAGATGATATTTTCTTACTCCTTGTCCGTTTTTGTCGTAATTGTTTCACTCATCGGCGTCTGTCTGGGAAGTTGGCTGAAGAATAAAAGTCCTGAAGGTCCCCTCCCTCAGTTACGCCTTTGACGCATTCGCTCTCGTTTGTAAACACGACTCTAATAATTCTTTACGCAACCGCTAGGAGATCAGTAACTTTTTAAAAATAAGCGTAGCTTTGAAATAATTCTTTAAATAACAGCATACATGCACAGGCAAGATGTTTGTTTCACGGCACAGCTTAGCGGGCACGCGCGGGAACGAATGGTTCGAATTGCAAGACCTCAGAGGCTTTAAGCCTTTCGTTGCGACAACCCTTTTTGATGACATAGACTTCCCATGTTTTAGTGCGAAGAGGAGAAGACGACTAAAAGACTGAGATATGTATGTGTGTAAAGTTAAATAACCATTTTTGGGTTTGAGTAACCATAACTTATTTTTTCTCAGTTCGTGGCGGGGCGGTATTCTACAAATCCTGCAATCTGATTGGTTCCGAGAGCGGGCAGTATTCTCCCCATCCGGCCCGCTCACAGCGGGCGGTATCCGTTTCGCTTGAGTCGTTTTATAGAACATCTCAAGCTTCGTTGCAATTTTTCACAAATTTATCTTATTTTGCCGGCTGAGCAGAATTTTTGAACAAAGACCTTGGTCACAACCTTTCGAGTAAAAATAATATGAATTCTTTCTTCTCGCTCGCTCTCAAATCACTTTGGTTTTTCAGCAAAAGTTGATTTCGAAATAAATTTTGTGGTACGACATTTGTTTCTAAAAAGAATGAAAAGCGGCTGAAAAACAATTCGTTATTCAATAATCCTTCACAGAAAGTAACTCAGAAAGTTAAAACGGGACGTAGTTGCAGTTAACAATGACGTTAATCAGTGTGACTCTCATTCGTTAATATCTGAATTCTTCAACACAATTTGTTCGTTTGTGAAACTTTGAGAGAAGTCAGTTCGAGTTCCTCTATAAATACACTTTCGTCTATTCTTTGTAAGTCCCTTGAATTTGGACATTTCTACCGTAAATTTAACAACAGTAACCGAAGGAATTCGATGAATAAACTCGCATTGAATCCCCTTGTGTCTAGCTGGAAAGAATCTCACTGACTTCAGCTTTTCGGTGGAAGGAAAACCGATTTACACACACCATTGCAGAAACTAATAAGCAGACTGAGAACTCCAAAACACACATTTGCATTCACTTACAATTTGACTTTTCCGTGACATTTTAAAACGGAACATAGGTAAATCTTAGAAGACTAATCGTCGTTGGAAATGAGCAATACTTTCCGTAAGATCTCCGAGTGCTTTTTTTTTTTTTTTTTAAAATCGTCGCATGGTCATTTAACCCGTGTGTGTGTGTTTGTCATACCAGTACTGTTGTTTATTTAAAAGCGTACGCCTTTTTTCCTCTTTAATTGACAGGTGTCACATCGTGACAGTTACTTATCAAAAAATGTTTCAAAGTTTACTCGGAAGCCTTTTAAGTTACCTTTACAAATAAAAATGTTTCGGTGAAAGCTTTCTCTTTAACTTGGATAACGTCTGTTTTCTTTATCATCCACTCACTAAGAAAATGTGAAGTTTATGGAGGATTTTCCCGTGATTAAACTCGTTATTGTAGCCTAAATCATTCGGGTTCTTTTGGCAATCGCTATTTTATGTGTTAGAAAAAAATAAAAATGTTGTTGACAGCATAGGTCGGTCCGCATTGGGAAAAACTGTACCCTCTATCTTGAGTACCGCCCGAGGCCGAAGGGCGGTATTCAAGATAGAGGGCACAGTTTTTCCCAATACGGACCTCCCGGCTGGTCAATAACATGTATTTATGTATTGTCGATAACAGTAAACTAGCAAGAATGTTAAAGTCCAGCAGAAGGGTTATGTTATACCCAACTTTACACCTGTCGGGAGCAGTTAAAATATTCACTTCACGTTTATTTCTCCCACTCGATCAACGCACTATGTGTAGAATGAGAAACATGTAATGTCTGTGATAAACAAATGTGAACGGGAACGGGAATGGGAACACATAGTTCTGACTGCGTGATCTTGGAGACTTGCAGTCTAGTTATGAATTTTGTGAGCTCTCGTTGCGAAAACTCAGTCTTTGATAACAATTTTCCTTTATCTCGCTGGAATAAAAAAAAAAAGACAAACTACGGTTGTCATTGTTATTTTTGAGAAAATAGCTATTTATTTTTGATCGTTAGACACCAATGAGAATTTGAAAGCATGAGCCGCAGTGTCTCTAGTCCAGCAGAAGAGTTATGTTGGACCCAACTTTACACCCCTACTGAAACAGATAGAATATTCACGTCACGTTTGTGAATAAAAAATTCGCTTTGTGAAGAAAGAAGCATGCTATGTCTATTTTATACGGTGGTCCAGGATACGGTGGTCCAGAAGGCTCAACGCAAACAAAAAATATACTGCAGCAAATAAAAAATATACTGCAGCAAATAAAAAATATACTGCAGCAACTAAAAATATACTGCAGCAAATAAAAAAATCAAAACGCAAAGAAAAAAAGTACCGCAGCAAATAAAAAATGCAACGCAAACAAAAAATACTGCAGCAAATAAAATATGCAACGCAAACAAAAAAAAAAAGAAAACGCAAACAAAAAAAATTGGAACGCAACGCCAAGGAAGACTGGGTAATAGTTCTTAGTTTCCCGCCAACACTNCAAAAGGTCAAAATACACGAGGGATTACCAGGAGTGATCATGAGTCGAGTTTATCTCTTGAATTTTCGAGGAGTCTGAGTTTTCGGGGTGTGAGTTTTCGTGACACCCCAAGCTTACTTGCACTCAGGTAAAATGCTCATGGATTTTGCCGACATAGGTCAATGAAGTGCCGTATGCGAGGGCTAAAGACATCGATTTCTCATCGGCTAAGAAGCTCAAAGAAAAGCTCGACCAAAAAATCGAGGATCTACAACAGCCGCAAGCCTCGAACAATACAACAACTTCTAGTTCCTCCTGTTCTTCCCCTTGATTTGTGATGATCTTAGGTATAGCGCATTAGATCATATATATAATGAATTTTGCGCTATAGAAATAATAAAATTATTAAATTATTATACGAAAAAATCCTTAGTCTTTATGCTTTCCACTTTTGCTCGAACAGCCAACAATAATGCATAACACCATCCCTTCTTTCTCACATGAACTCTTCGTTAGATACGGTTTGTTGACGCTCGAGGGACACCAAGATGGCGGATAGTAACCGTTGCTAAGGTATTGGTCACGTGGGTGAAACCCAAGGACAGCCAAAAGCGAGATCCAGTTTATGCTGTTTTGGCGGGAAACTAAGAACTATTACCCAGTCTTCCTTGGCGTTGCGTTCCAATTTTTTTTGTTTGCGTTTTCTTTTTTTTATTTGCTGCGGTACTTTTTTCCTTTGCGTTCTGATTTTTTTTTATTTGCTGCAGTATATTTTTTATTTGCTGCAGTATTTTTTGTTTGCGTTGCATTTTTTATTTGCTTCGGTAATTTTTTCCTTTGCCTTCTGATTTTTTTATTTGCTGCAGTATATTTTTATTTGCTGCAGTATATTTTTTGTTTGCGTTGAGCCTTTTGGGCCACCGTAATTTTTACATGTAGGCAATAAGCTAAAGGTAGCAAAGGCAAACAAAACCACAGAGACAAGTAATTATACGTAGCTGCACAGAGGCAATACATATAAAAAACATAATTCTAAGACTGAAATTTTGGATTTTTGAAAATGTTCGCCCCTCTTCAGTAAAGGGAACAGAAACCAGTCTCTTAATAAACACGTTTAAGTTGAACCGGGTTATATGTCCATGTCAGTATTGTTGGCCTAGCGATTAACAATCTGTCACCGACAGTTCTCAAGTGGGCTGAAAATAGATATCCATCTTGGCGAGTTAACCCTTTTAATGATTGCATGGTCAAAAGAAGACGCAGTTCCTGTCAGCTTCTATTTTGCTATTCTTTCCTGTTCCTCTTCAGCTGCTGCACTCTTATCAGGTTTCGTCCTTCTGTCCACACGACGATTATTGGACAATGGTTGTTGTTGGGAGGGATGAATTCATCCATGTAATCATCCCTTGGCCGAAGAATGCGTTGCACTCTCCATACTAGAGCCCTTGCTTACTGAGTTCTTGCGCTATGCTAACTCAAACAAAAACTGTTTTCCTTCGGATGCTTCCTACATTTGCGGTAATTAAACTTCGATACCTCGAACTCTAAATGAGAAATCACCAGGCAAAAAATATTTCCTCGTAAATAACCGGTTTCTTTAATGAATTTTCCTTTTCTTTGTGTTTTGCTTTTTGTTTGTGGGGAATTATGGCTCGTTTTTTACTCATTTGAGGAATACAGCAAGTCGATTAAAGCTACTTAAAATTTCAAGATAATAACACACAAAATCTTCTTACGAAAATGTTTTGTTTCAACTTAAATTTTAATTCAAACGTAGCGATGCTTGATAATATCATGTACTCCTTCACCTCTCTCACGCGTGAAAGATATATTAAGGACTAGTGTTGGAGAAGACAACACTCGTATCACGGGAAGCTACATGACATCCTCTGTATATAAGTTTCAGAAAGGAACAAGAGTCCACTTTGCACCTGTGTTGAAGCAGTTTAAATATTCACGTCAACCTCTTTTCTCTCACTCAGTAAAAGCAAAAACACTCTATGAATAAACAAGTGAAATAAAATTTATTCTCATTTTCCTTTCATCGAGTGTTTACCGTTTCCTGTGCACCTGTGATATGTAAATTTACTAATTTTCCCTGTACGGTTATGATAAAATGGAGAAAGGTTTTGGAAGTTGTCGACGTACTGGTTAATTTATTTCACATAGCCACGCTTTGCCAAAAATCTTCCTGCCTTCTCTGTGAAAACTTGCCTTGTACTAAGATAGACTGGTTTATCTTGATCGTAATTCAACCGCTCTCTCTGGTCTTGAGGTATGTTTTATTTTTTCTCTTTTTAGGTGTTTTGCGATTTATTTTAAGTTATAATACTGTACGATATATGACATTAAATGTCCACTCTGGTAATTAAAAAACACCCTCAAAGGGAGTTTATAACATTTTATCCATATTATATGCTTGATAAAGGAGGCGGAGTTTACTTGAGGCTTGTCTTCGTAGTGACACTGTCAATTGTACAAAATATTTATCCTTTCACATATTATAGCTGCTTTTCTTTTCCTGTGCATCTGTGATATTCCAGTTAACTAGCAGATGCAGATCGGTTTTTGGAAGTTCTCGACTGGCTGATTTATTTCACATAGCCACGCTTCGCCGAAAATCTTTACGCCTTTTTTTATGAAAACTTGCCTTGTGCTAAAATAGACCGTGGGTTTATATTGCTCGGAATTCAATTGCTCTCTCCGGTCTTGAGTTTATTTTTTCCATTTGTTTTCAGCAATAAACACCCCAAACGATAATGTAGGGGTATTATCAAAGAAAGTTACTTGAGAAATTACCTTCCACTGTTCATAAATCAGCAAACATAGCTACAGCAGGAGGCATCACTGTGTGGTCAGCTTCATTTTTGGCCTGTCCGAAAGAAATGACAAAATTAGGATCAAAGTTTGAGTTAGCATGAATAAGAAATAGCTACCGAAATATAACTCAAGAACTAGACATTAACATTATTACTAAGCAGCGCCCTTTTAAAAAGTTTTTAGACCAAGGCCCCGAAATAGATAATATTACCGAGGCACTGTGATATTGCCCCAAATCGGACAAAATGCCTCACGATTATGTCTGCCACTTAAATATCACTCATATTTCGTCAAATACAGTTTATTTAGATATGTTCACGAAGTTTGTACATCTAACAGCTTTAGGTTAGTTAGGTGCAGATATTAGGAGAGTTTGAGAAATATATCTGCTTCGGTGCTTATTTTCTTTCATTCTTTTGAATTCAAGAAAAAAGTAAAAAAATGCTACAAACATATATCAGGCCAGAAAACACTGCATCACTCACTGATAAAAATAAAAGAAAAAAACATAACAATTTCTCTTCATTGATAGGTCGTTTCGTGAAGTAAACCTTCAGTTGAAACTCAATGGTTACCAACACAAGCAACATTGCCTCCCACTGCATTCCATGGCTTTTTGTGTACGGCATTGAATGTCTGGCTGTAGTTTTTCTCAACGCCATCGCCATTATTGTATTTGTAAAGCAGCGTCAGCTACAGAGAAAGAGTACATACTTGATCATCCATCTGGCAATGGTCGATTTCTTTGTCGGGGCGGTTACTGGACCTCTGCGTATTTACAGCTTAGGGAGCTGGTACTGTGATCTGTGGGAATTCGTTTGGCCTGATAGTACTTGGTTTAACATAATAATATATGCCATTGGTTATAATAGTTATCAAATCTCGCTTCTTAATCTCGCTTTTATTTCATTAGAACGAGCACACGCAACATTTCGTCCGTTCAAGCATCGTTTTGTAAAGACATGGGTTTATGGAGTGATGATAACAGTCACTTGGTTAGTTCCTGTAGTCATGATAGGCACTTTATTTGGACTGTCAAAATTATTTCGCGTCTGCGTTCTTTATTTCTTCTTATATTTTGTCATTCTTCTCTTTGTTATATTTGTATCCTATGTTTCTATTTATATAAAAGTGCGTCGTGGTCGTCTTCCTCAACACCATGGTGCAGCCCGTCTGAGGGAAAGAAAACTGACAAGTACATTGTTTCTTGTCACCTTTGGATCGTTATTTACTTTCTTGCCAGTGGTTTTATACTTGGGTGTGGGACTTTTTAAGCCTAAGCTAAGTTCTAATTTTCATATTACATACGTGAGGACAATTGTTGCATTTTTTTTGCTAAACTCATTCATAAATCCTATAATTTACGCCATACGGATGCCAGAATTAAGAGCGGGTATATTACAAATAATATTTCGCAGGGTTCCACATCGCTCAAATGGGGTTAACATTCCACTTCAGGATCGTTAATTTGAATGTTAAAAAGAAGGAAAGCAATGAAAAAAAAAAAAACCGAAAGTTAGTTTGTTATTATTAATTATTTTTATTTTCTCGAGTTGATTGGCAAGAGTAGCACGCTTGAAACAAAAGGGGAAAATTCGTCAACGCTTCATTAGATTGTTAACACAGGTTTATGGTATCGAATGAATGTCCATGATGAAAAATTTTATGAGTTTTGCAATGAAATAGCTGTGTAACTTGTAGTGGCAATAACTAAAAAAGAATTAATTAATCTGGGCTCGAGGAAAGTGTTTTGCACTAGACAAAAAACAATTAAAAGTCTTTTCCTGGATCAGTGACCATTTTATTCCAATATTGTTGTTTCCACGTAGACCTCCTGCGACTATTGTAACGGAAACTGAAACTGATTGTGGTACTATTGGATTATTAAAGAGGAAAACATTAAAGATTTACTTCGTTGAATCAAAACAAGAAAAACAAAAATTATCTTTCAATACTTTTGCCCCACTTAAGGTAGCTGGTACCAGTTTTCATCTTTTTGATGGTTTGTAACTTTGAAAGAATACAACAAAAAGACTGACCAAGGCCAGTCGATTACTTTTACAGGAATTATATATCATTCGCTTTCCAAAAATAGGTGTCATTTCGTCACAAGCAGTTTCCATGGCAGCGCTTTCAAAGGATTATTCAGACGCATTTTTTTAGTTTATGGCTCAAATAATTCGAAAACTAACTCGGTGACCCGAGTTTTTTAGTGATTGCTTTAGGCACTTGAAAAGGAAAATGCACAAATATTTAAAAAAAAAATTATACGGAGCGGAATTTCAGAAAATCTAGAAAAAGGCAATTTTCATGCATCGCAAATGTCCTTCCGTATAATTTTCTTGTTTTGTATTTTTTGCTGTTGTTTTTGTTTTGTTTTGTTTTTTTTTCTGACGATCCCTTTCAACGTTATTAACATATTGGAACAATAAAAAGAAGGGGTCGCCGGACTTGTTTTCGTGAAATAGTTTTCGTGAGTTCGCAATTTCCACGCGCGTTATCGCGCATTTAAAAATCTGGATTCTATAAGATCGACATTTGCTCATGATCTGTTATAGCTACCGCTAACTATCGCGTGCGTTCGCGAGAGCACCTACGATCTAATGTTTACAGACGTTTGCTGCTTAGAAAAACACTCAATAGCCATCAAAGACAGCCTCCTGGGCTTGTCTTAAAGGACCTACTCACAACTTCTGGCTATATTATATTACTTTCCTTGAAGTTTAACAGCCTTCTTCCACTTCAGCCAGATTATCCTTCACTCGAGTTCCCCTCTTTTCGCCGTCGCAAAATTTCATATCGGTTGGATATTTCGTTTAGATGTGAAGCAACCTTTATGTCTCCGAGAATCGTCTTCTATCTCCTGCATTATCTTCGTTTCTGTCTCCTGCATACGCAGTGACCGTTCAACACATCAAATACATGCTGTTAGGTAAACCTCTTACAAAAGTAGAAAAAATCCTCGCGCCACCATCTTTGTTTTGGATTTTCGTCTTTTGATCTCGCGCTTCTTTCGCATGTTTCTCTCGCAAGTTACGCAAGAATGACCTGTTCCCCGCGCGAGGAAACTAGAACTGGCTCGTGTCACTCCGATTTACAAACAGAGTACTAAAACCGATCTTGAAAATTACATAACTATCAGTCCTCCCTGTCATTCGAAAATTCTCGAGAAACATGTCCGCAAACCATTCACTGCTTTTCTCACTAATCATGATTTACTGTGCAAATGCCAATCGGGTCTTACAGCTAACCACTCCAGCGAAACCATCCTTATCAATGATGAATGGCTGGCAGCAATGGATAAAGACCTTCTTACTGGCGTTGTCATCATCGATCTGCACAGAGATTTCGACGTTGTAGACCATAAACTACTTCTCAAGAAACTTCAGGTATATGACTTGAACACTAACTCCCTCAAACGGTTCCAAAGTTAACTCAGCGGAAGGTATCAAAAGGTATTTGTTGACGGTGAACTATCTGAACCACTCGGTATTCACTCCGGTGTACCGCAGGGGAGTATTCGTGGTCCTGCTCTTTTTCTGCTCTTCATAAATGATCTGCCTCTAGTACTCAAGAACAACATTGGCATTTATACCGATGACTCGAACCTTTATGTATCTACCCCTAGCTTAGCTGAAGTCGAGGAGAAAATTAAACCTGACGTTGATGCAGCATCGTCGTGGGCAAAGAAAAATAAAATGAAAATGCATCCAGCAAATACAAAGTACACTATAATCTCCACCGGACAAAAAATTGCAAATTCAGCAAAGCAATCTCTTGACCTTTCAGTTGACGGCATGCAACTCACTAAGGTTGAGTCAGATCGTGTCTTAGGGGTGTATGTTAATAGTCATCTTTCCTGGAACGAACACATCAACAAACTGCACCGAAAACTACTTCAAAGAATTGCAATTTTATCCGGAGCTCGGAAATATAATACTCTTGTTGTCATGGTAACAACGGCTGTTTATTTTAGGCCTGGGACCTCATTTTCATACAAAGATATCGCAAAAAAATTGTAAAATGTTTATTTCTCTATCTAAAGCTGAATACAACATTAGAGATTGGTACTTCTAGCATACATAGTGACATCATTTGTCTTTACTTTGATACATTCAATTTTCCCTGGAGTGAATATGAACACATCAGTAGATTATTTATCTTGATACGGTTTCCGGGTCATTTTTCAAGCTCCGTTTTATTAGAGAAATGTTTTTATGGAGTGATAGTGTTTGTTCATTTGGTTTGTACGTATAATCATATCAACCACAGTATATGCACCATTATTTCTTACTAATATCAACCTCAATTCGTCATTGGTCTATCTCTCATACTTTGCTATTCTTTTTTTGTTATACTCGTAAGCTATGTTTCTATTTATATCAAAGTTCGTGGTGATCGTCTTGGTCGACACCATAGTGAAGCCCGTCTGAGGGAAAGACAATTGACGAGTACATTGTTTCTTGTCTCCTTTGGATTGTTGTTAACTTTCCTGTCAGAGGTGGTAAACTATGGTGTGAGGGCTTTTGATTTTAAGCTAATTACGAATCTCTCCCTCAATTCTTATGTTCGTATTAAAATGGCAGTTTGTTCATTTTTCGTGTTCAACTTGCTAATAAATCCTGTAGTTTACACTATAGGAATGCCAGAATTAAGAGAAAGTATATCACAAATAATATTTTGTAGGGCTCCACGCCGCTCAAATCCGGTCAACATTCCACTTTAAGAACGTTAGTTTGTAACGTCTAGCCACTGATACTACGCTTGAAGCAAAGAAGAAAATTCGTTCGTGTCTCCGATCTCGTTTACAGGTCGCTGACGTAAAGTGAACGTCAATGATGAAGTTCAAAGCAGAAACTGTTTCTTGGGTTAAGCGCTGAAATTACGGAAGACAAAATGTTTATTTAGTGATTGGGCTGTGATGACATCATAACTGTAACCAGTAATTTCAATCATTTAAAACTGTAGCGTCCAGTGTGTTTTTTTTTAATACGAGAGCGCAAAAGAATTAGAGGTCTTTCCGCAGATCAGTTTAACGACTTTGAATCAGCAGCTTATTTCAGTACTGGTGTTTCCCTGCGGACCATATACCAATATTATTGCGTATAGAAACTGCAACAGATTGTTGTAATGTTATATCAACTGATTGATACAGAAATAAAGTTACAAAAGACGATACATTAAAAGTTCACTTCGTTCATGACGAGCTTTGCCCACCAAAAAAATTTATGCAAATTAGGCTAAGCCGGATCTGAGTTCCGCCTGGCAATTATTAACTGTAAGAGAAGATCTCAGTTCGCGCCCACAGCACGTTCAAGGTGTTGCGGATGAAGTTTCTGTAATTACTTTTTGGCACTTTTCGGCGTCAAAATTGCATAGTTTGGGTAACCCAAAACCCTTAAGCTGACCTTTCTTGTCATAACACGAATGTTTTCCAGAAAGGGACACGCGGTAATGTCGGTGTCTCTCGTGTGCAGGCATTTTTCCAGGTAAAACCCTCGCGTGGAATCAACTCATGTTTAATTTAACGCTCCTTTTATGCGCACAATGTAAGCCAAAGCAATTTTATAGTTAAACGTAAAGATCAGAATATTTTCTTCTAAGGATGATAAATGATCGACGCTGAACTAAATTATACG